TTGGGGGGGTTAGGGTAAGGTTTTCGCGTTAAATTTAAGTTTACCGCTCACAGTGTGATGTTTTCGTCACGCTGTGATGATGTCAGGTACGCGCTTTTGTCGAGCGCGCTTTAGTCTACCACGGTTTTGTGGTGGAACCCTGATGACTTGATAATGATAAAAGCATGCATGTTATTTCAAAATCCTTCCAACTCTTACTCCCTACATTAGGCTGAAAATGTGATCTTTGTTCCCCGGCAATGCCATGACATTACCAGTGAGGGCCCCCACAATTTTTGGAAACCAAATGCCCAGAGGACCTCTCACTCCTCCCATTTAAAAAATATTATCATTGGCTAAAAAACTGCTGCTTATTCCTAATGAAAAAAACATTTCAAGCTCCTAATTAGAGAAAGGTAATTAGACACTATATTGTGCTAGTACTGGATCTATTGTAAATAGATACTATATACTAAATACTATTGTTATTGTGAGTAGCAAATATTAAAATAGTGTGCTGCATTGCAACTAGATTAAGGGTTTGTTATTATCCATCCTTCTACTCTATACAATGTTAAGAGGTGAAAGAAAAATACATGTAAACCCCTGACAATTAAAATTGTGTTGATACATAATGTTTGGTTTCTGAGACCCCAGGGTGCATTTTCTTGGTGGCAAATGCAGACACAAAATGGGTTGCCCCTCATTTGGGTCCTCCAAGGGGCGTAAGATAGCAGGCTGTCTACAAAATTGATCAGAAGGACTTCAGTTGGTAAATTGTGACTGGAGCAGGAATGGGGACTGTACATATAATACAGTATATGTCCTATTAATTCATTTATTGGGGGGAAAGAACCACGAAGAACACAAAGAACACGGGCTCTTAATTCATGAAATAGATTGCCTATATAAAAAGAAGGACTAGGAGCAACATGCTAGCAGTGTTCCAATATCTCAAGGATTGCCACACAGAGGCGGGAGTCGAACTATTCTCCAAAGCACCTGAGGCAAGGACAAGAAGCAATGGATGGAAACTAATCAAGGAGAGAAGCAATTTGGAACTAAGGAGAAATTTCCTGGCAGTTAGAACAATTAATCAGTGGAACAGCTTGCCTCCAGAAGTTGTGAATGCCCCAACACTGGAAGTCTTTAAGAAGATGTTGAACAGC